AGTAAATTTGCGAAAAATCGCGCACTCTGATGTATTACAAATAGCGGGGTGTTACATATATATATAATAAGATTTTATCATTTTTTAAAAATAACAGGTCAACCCTTTGGTCAAATTCAGATATCATTAATTAGTTTCCTGACAATATTTTTTTTTAATTACTTAATATTCATGGAAAATTGACGAAAAAAAGCGGCGCAGTTTCTTTTTTGTAAGAGAGAGAGAGAGAGAGAGAGAGAGAGAGAGAGAGAGAGAGAGAGAGAGAGAGAGAGAGAGAGAGAGAGAGATTCTTGGATCCTTCCTGATTGAATCTTTTTTTTTTGGCACACTCTTGATTGGTTCTTTGTTGTGAAAAAACGAGATTCTTGGATCCTTTGTTGTATACGTTTTCAATTGATTTAAAATTAAACATTTTATGAAATCACGGTTTGTATGGAATGGTTTTGTTGAGTGTAATTTTTTTTATCTAACTATTTTATAGAATTATTGATTAAAAATTGAAATCACATTTTACAAATGGACAATATATTTTTTTTATTTTTATTTGCAAATAAACTTTAAATCATCAATAGTATTAGACATGTTATATTCACAATTTGAAATTTTATAGATCTTTTATAATAATAAGATATAAAATTCCAACAACATTCTCAGTCTTTCCAATAAAAAACGTAATGAACATCCCGTGAAAATAGATACACAATTTTGATGATACACGATTAGCATTCACGTGAAAAAAGATATATAATGAGAATAACTATTTACTACAAATATTAATAAAAAATTTTGAAAACATTTAATGCATGTGTTTTTTGAAACTTTTTAAATGCATGCATTAATTATTTCCATATACACGTTTTTAAATAAGACTAAAAATATGATAAAAAATTATTTTATTAAATAATTTTTTTAATATCTGCAATAATTTTATCGATATTCATTATAATAAATTTTTATTACAATATATAATTTTCGTGATTCATGTTGATAATATTTTGGTCCAGATAAATATTACAACATATTTTAAGTTTTAACCTTAATATTGTTTTTTTCACAAATATTTACTTTTTATCCAAAAATATTTATAGAAAATCAGAACAGGTTAAGTAGAATTTTTTCTTCCAATTAATCAGGCGGAATCAAGTTGATGAAATCTTTGTCAATATAAATGTTTCTTGAGCTTTATTTCGTTATATATAAAAAATAATATATATTCTTCAAATTAATAAAATTTACCATTTTAAGAGATAATGACCAGATACATTAAATAGTTTTACTAATGGTCAAAAACTAAAATTAAAATAAACTAATTGTTCTTTAAAAATTATTTGTATATTATTGGCAACCATAATTATTTTTGTAATCAAATTCTTGATTTTGATTTTTTTTCTGCAATCAAATTCTTGCAAAATATATTTTCATTGCACAGCATGTTAAATAAACTATAAATCCTTATAATGCAAATTAGAAAAAATTTGATTCGTGTTTTCGGCATTTGCTAAATCAAATTTGTTTAATAACTAATTAGTATATAAAAATAAATTCTACTAAAACATTGCGTATATTTTGTAAATATTTATACACTATTTAATTTTAAAGTTATTTACATATTTTAAATTAATTACATAAATAAATAATACTAACATGCATTAAATACTTTTCATTACATAAAATAAAAAGAAAAATAAGACGTACATCTTCTATAAATTTTATAAATAATAATGACATTATATGACAACAAAGTTTATAATAAAAATAGTAATCAAATATTATATGGTAAACAAGAATAGGTAAAACTGTATTTTCTCTTATATCCTCCCTATATATAATTCCCGAATGCGCTGAGCCTACGTGGCTGCTTCTGGTGCTTCGGAATCCTATTTGGAGAAGAATCATGCTTCGTAATTAGGTTTGGATAAATAATATTGATATATTAATAATTAATAATCTTGGTTCGGGTATTCCATAAATATTATTTAGTTAACTTAGGTATTTTAATATCACTTTTACTAATATAACTCTTTAATTTTTTGTAATTTTACATAGTGAGGCACTAAGTGACTAATATATCCTTGAATTTTGATTTGTTTCCTTCAATAAGCTATTGAATTATAAATGTATTTTAAAAGTTGATAACTTTTGTATTTCTAACCGGTTTTACATATATAATATATCAAATTAATCATTTTTTGATGATCTTCGATTTGACATCCATATTGTATATATGAAATAAATAAATTATATTTATTTTTATAATAATAAAAAATAATAATATTTATTAAAATTCATTAGAAAAATAAAATTATTTCTCAATTGATATATTTATATGTAATGTAGTTATATATTGTAAGTTAAAAAAAAAAATAGTATAATATAACACAAGTAAGTTGCACAAATAAAAAATGTCATAATAAATATATAATAATATATATTCTTATAAAAGGTATTTAAATTTTCAAACTACTATTTCTCATTAATTTTAGATTTTAAGAAAAAAAATTAGTAAGCACCCGTGTAATACACGGGTGTTGTACTAGTCAATAAATAAATATATATATATATATACTAAAACTAAATTTATATTAGTATAAATGTGTTAATGAGATAATAAATTAATTATTTTACAAGGTAGCCTAACATGCTAATATTTAATGTTGTGGCTAAAAAACAATAAAATTAAAAGATGTATAAAATAAATTATAACCCTATTATTTTTTAGACTCAACACTGATTAAATGAGGTAAAAATAGATGATAAGCATATTTCTTTTTTTTTTATAACTTAAACGAACATAGGCTGTGAAATGACTCATTTATTACATTTGTCTTGTGAAATGACTCATTTATTACATCTATCTCGTGCATCGCACGGGGTACGTACTCGTTTGTATTAACATACATGATTATATTTAACTTTATTTTAGTGATAATGTACATACAGACCCTTGAAATGATTAACGGGACAACATGTAGCATAAAATCTAAAATACATTTAAAATATATTATAATTCCCCCATTCCCAATAGGAGACCTTTTTGGAGAAAATTTGATGATACGCAGAGTCAACAAAAACAATACATCAACTTCGTTTAGTGTTAACTGAAACACTAGAAAAATAATGTACCAAAATCTTAACATGGTCCCAATAAAATCCCAAAAATACATAATGTTGCACCTCCTATAATACACAACAGATACTGTTATGCAAATATGTGACCTATAATATTCCTAAACTCTCACAATTTTTGAAAATCTCTCTTCTGTTACCACAGACATGTAAGGCAAAAATCCTTTAAACCAAACTACAAAAAATAAGCCATTTGATCCTCTCACAAATGCCACACGAATCTCTCAAGACTTGGTCAGATGATAAAACAAACAAATCAACACAAAAACTCAACTGCTTAGTTTTGGAGCCTTGATAAAATGAACACTTTTCACCAATCCTTTGCCCACTTGACCCACAGATTTCAGCACATCAAGTAGATCAGTGTTATCCTCTACATCACCATCCCTTGCTCGTTTCTGAAAATTCACACAGCAACGGCTTTACTAATAATAATGGTTGCCGCATGTTATCAGAAGCATCAAGAATTAATAAATATTTTTTTTATTTTATTTTTAGTTTTTTTTTTTTACCTTTGAACTTTTATTTCCACAAGTGAGACCAATGGCATCGCCTCCAAAAGAATCGTACCACACATTAAATGTGTCCGCAAACTCTGTCTGTTCATATGACGACATAAAAACGGCTTTAGTGTGCATACAAGTCATGAAATTAGTCACTAATTTTTTTTTTTTTTTTTCTACTTGCCTTGATGTCATTGACAAAATATCTTAGCGGGTCAAAGTTCACCATTAGCTTATTTTTGAGTTCATCTGGGCTCCCTCTCAGATCTCCAGGCAATAAGAAAGGTTGGAAAGTTTTGCTAGGTTTTCCATGTATCACATTCTTCCCTGCACAGAGGAACAAATGGGATCAGGAAATCCACAATACATTTCAGAGCATACGAAACAAAAAAAGGGTTCACTAAAAAATATAAAATAAAGAACTTAATTTACAAATGCCCCTTGATATATTTCCTATTTCAGACATTGGTGGAGATAACTTGAAAGACAACTGGGCTGAATGTACAAAGAAACAGCGTATTTCCTCCATTACCGCTCAAGCGGAAGGACAATATGTACCTAGTTTGACTTCAGATGGGAACAGAAGGTGTTGTGGATAAGGTAGTTTGTCCCTGTGCAGAAGAATGACGGCATTGTAGTTGTTCAGAGGTGTCCGGAAAACGCACTGCAAGACAAGCAAAGGATGGTTATGACCAAAAGAAGAATAACATATATGATAATCAGGAAAGCAGAAGGGACCCCACTCACTTCCCATTGGTAATGATCATTTTGATTCTTCATAATGATGTTGTTCAAGAAATTAGCACTGCTGGTTGCATATGCCGCAAGTCTTCTGAGGTCCTGATGCATGTCATTTCTCGAGTTAATGCCAAAGAACAGAAATAGAAATCCATTTTTTAATTAAAACAGAACAAAAGTATGCATGTGTTTCTTTTATTAAAAGCCCTATTCAAATTTATCAAGAAATCTGAAAAAGAATTCTCTGGAAAACATAAGAGGGGATATCTTAACAGGATTTTCATATTAAACCACTCGCTTAATATTTACAAAAGAAGTTCATCAACAAGCCCAACAATATACCAAAAGATTCCCGGTAGCAAGAAGAATTTGAATTAAAAAACATATTGGAATGAATTTTCAGATAACTAGAGTTACTCACTGCCGCAGATGGTGACTGGCTGGTCCAAGCTTCAGATTCTTTGTCATAGTTCGTTGCCAAAAACATGGCAGGTTTAAGATTGTGAGGATTCTCTTCGCAACCTTTTCTAGTTGACATGAAAATCTCCTATTTCAACACAAAGATACACAGAGCTTCATCAATTCAAGTTTCATATAAATTATTCAACAAATAACTACATCAGGAACGCCTAAATTTTAGAGTTGCAGCCTACATTGATTTCGTTGCTATCTGCCGGAGTTAGATCACCATTGATGTCAACAATTAAAGGAGAGAAACTCCAATCGTATTCGGACAGCAACCTCAGGAATCTGCAAAGAAGTGAATATGCCAAATAAAAAGTATGAAAATATACCCAAATTAAAGTCAATGTTCCACACCGTACTTCAAATTTTGACAATTCCTTTCGAGTGGCAAAACATGAACAGCTTTAAAACTAATCTGAACCCAAATACTTGTTGTCATTTCAACACACGAGCTACTATTTGAAGCTTGTATTACTAAAAATTGTGGCACCTAAACTGCTCCGTAAGTTACTTCATTGGAATTAACATTTGCTTATGAGTATGTATTATACTTCAGCTATGGTTGCAGAAGTTCCTTTCTAGGTCATCTATTGACTAGTCTACCATCCTAGATTACAGTACATCTTTCAACTGTTCCAATTGAGCTAAAGAAGTATAACAGCTGAATGATAATCAAGAACTGCCTGCTTAGGATTGCCATCTAGAGCAGCAGAGAAAATCAAGTGGTCCCACTAACTCTTAAGTTAAAGCCAATCTGTCTTGGTTCTCTCGTTCATTTTGGTGTTTCCAGGTAAATATGTCTTCTCATGTTACATCTAGTCTGCAAACATTGATTTCTTCTTTGTTGAGTCAAAGAGGTTTGCAACTATCTCTTGCCTAAGACATTATAAATATACTTATGTTTCGGGTTTGATTTTCTTTCATAAAAAGAGCAACTGTCATGGTTACTTTGTTATATTTCTTCATATTCTGTTTTTCTTAAATATAATTTTTTCAATAGTGAGCCACTAGAAAGGTGCAAGGGCGAAATCTTCATTGTTTCACCCATATAGAACCAATCCCCATCATTGTAAAATCATACTTCATAACAACTTTATGCTCGCAGTCCGACATTCTCTCTTACAATAGATGAAATTATATATTTTCTCTTATAATAGATGAAATTAGCAGATCAACAAAATTCAAATGAGAATTTACGACAGATGCAGTAGTGATCTGGACGAGCTAAAATCTCATATTGAGCAAGTGGAAGTAGAATAAAAGTTCCAAAAGTCAGAAAAATCCCATTGTGATGTTATATTGTTATGTTACAAACAATAATTAACATAAGCGAATCACCACAAAAATCTGAAACAATTTTTTTACGGCAGCCGAGACAAATCTAATCTAGTTAAGAAACACTTTGAAAATGACTGAACATAAGCCCACTATAGTGATATACTCTTCAATGAAACAAAGAAATTTAAATAAAATGCATCGGATGTGGCAAAAAGTATAAAAAATAATAACCTCAGGAATCCAGTTATTCGGGAGCATGGTGGTCTGAATGGCAGAGGCTTCAAAAATAAGTGCGCGACCAAAACCTCAACTGCCTCTTCAGACAATATGTTTGAAAATAGATGTGCAGATACCCAGCGTTTTGCAAGCCTTATTGATAGAAATAAGTCAGAATTGAAATTGCAGGTTCTTTCACATCGCATAGATTGGTACGAGGACGATGCACAGGAAGAAAATAAGCTAAATTTCTTACCGAACAACTGGCCCATATATTGGATATCGACCTCTTAAACCATTAATCATGCTAGAATGCTGACTACGAAGGAAAAGCTTTTTGTCTGAAGATAAAACACGCTTGTTTTGGGCACCACCTACAAACGCAAAGCATGATATTGAAAGTTAAGGTGATAGTAGCTGAAACACGATGTGGTAACAGATCCAGAAAATGAAAAGGTGCATTACCTTGTCTTTTGACCAAGCTCAAGCCTCTCTCATGCAAAATTTTTAGACGAAATGCATATCCAGACATAAGAATATCAACATCGTCCTCTGTAGCTGTACTGGTAATTCCTTTTTTGGTGTGAAGACTGCCAGACAGTATAAGTAAATAGATTAGGATATTTTTCAATTTTGCGACCATAATTATATGAAAACCAACCTTTCGGCAATTTTAAGGAGGAAGGCAGACTTAGTTTTCTCCATCGCAACCTCATCCATTGGCCAGTTTCCAGAACCTTCCAGCTATAAGGAAGTGAGAGGTTGTTCCCAAGAACATAGATGAACAAATAAAAACATGTACATTCAGTAGTTCTTGCCTGAATCATTATTTCTAATGGCCGTATACATGACGCAGTGGGTTTCTTCATTTTCATCTGATTGCCTTCATGTGCTAATGGATGTGGTGCAGGGGGAAATACAGAGGTCAACCTAAAAGCTGTAGCATGGAAAGATAAGCATTTTATAAAAGGCAGTAGTAAAAATATGTGCTAACTAACTCCACTGGTAAGGATAAGATAGAAACGATGGGAGGGGGAAAGGAGGCAAGAGATGCGGGATATAGATAGTTTTGGCTCCTTTCTTCATACATTTTATTTTTTTTTTTTTT